TGATCTCGAAGTTGTTCGATGGGATGGGCGGATAGATGATGACAGGGCGGATATCAGCGACCCGTGGAGTAAAGTAGTACTCCAAGGTGGGGCCCGGCGGCGGTGGTTGATGATGAACCCCATCTGCCTGGGGTATTGGGTTGTTCCCCAGGATCTGGTTTACCGGGGGAGCCTGGAGAGGTATCCCCTAGGGCGGGTTATATTCACCGTCCATCTCGTATTCTTCCTCGGAATCGCTGCTCAAGTGGCCGTCTATGCGCTTCTCCGTAGCCAGTCTAGCTCGTTGTTGTCTCCTAAGTATGCGCTCCTCCGGATCCAACGGCAGTAAACCTCCCGACTAGCTACGTGTCAAGCACTACCTGCACACAGTCAAGCACCAAACCCGTGAAGGCACAAGTGGGACAAAGCAAACAAAGAATGCTAAAAAGAAAGCTAAATTAACAGAAACCACGTTTCTTCAACAACCTAGCCGTCCCCGTCGCCAAAAACATGACTCGCTCCTACCGTCACTCTAGAAAATGGCCAAGTGTAACCACCTTCTAAAGCGTAGTATAGCGGGTTTGGGTTTTAATGTCAACCCGGGTCCTAAGTGTGATGACTACACCGTGGGTTCTTATTATTTAGCGATGACAGTGTAGTTAAGGTCCAAACAAGAAAACAAGCAAAGCAGTTAAAGGTTGTTTTCAAGTTGAGAGAGGTCACCCGGATATGGTTCCCCCTAGACCGCAGTTAAGCTGGATTGTAATTTACCAAGTTCAATTTCAAAGATAGTTATACTGCGGGAGGTCCTTAAACAGTCTGGAGTCTCGAATAAAGGTCTCCAGACCCTCTCAATCTGAGTCTCCATCGGGTGACTAACCTCCACCGGAGTAAACAGATTGAGGCCCTAACGAACCAAACCTCCACTACCGAAGTAAATCCAGTACAGAATAGTGAATTGACTCCTCGACTAAAGTCGTCAATTCCCTATGTTCACTCAAGGGTGCTCTATCAACCTAGGCAGATATTCTCTTTCTAGGTTAAAGCAGAAATAACCGGAATTTGATCAGGATTCATGCCATTCAATAAATCAAACCTCAATTGAATATAACCATATCACTGAATCTGTACTTGGATTCATACAATCAAACCTAACATACAAATCTAGGGTTCTTCATACCTAGGTGAAAGAGAAAGTTGCTCCATAGAGAGAGATGGGAAATCTAGCTCAGATGCGTAAACCATACTATTAAGGATGAGATTCTGCTTCTGGCACTCAATCAGCTCTTCTCCAAGCTCAAGCCGGGCTCCAATGATGATGGAGATTGATCTAAGGCACTTGAAGAATCAGGTTCGTCACTTTCTTTCTCTAGGTATCCACTCTTTCTCTCTAAAACTCGGTTCCCTTCTCCTTTGGCTGACATTGGGTTAAAACCCAGAAATTCCCGACCACACGGCCGTGTGGCTTTCCAGTCTGCCCGTATGGATGTTAAAACGCGGCATTTCGATTAGTGGGCTTTCAGGCATGCTGCACGGCTAGGGCCACACGGCCGTCTGGATTTCCAGGCTGCCCGTGTCAGCTCCCTGGACTTTCCAAACGGCCACAAGAGGTCCCCTACACGACCAGTGTAGCTTGCTTGTGCAAAGTGGTGCCACACGGCCAAGTCACACGACCGTGTGGGATTTTAGGCCTCCCCGTGTGAGTTCCTCGGCTTCTCGCCAAATGTCCAATCTTCGTCCAATCGACCCCGAACTTGTTCCCAAGCCTTCATTCACGTACTAGGACCCGAAATATCACAAACAAGAACAACCTAGCGTGAAATCGGCTTAAAACACGAGAATTAAGACTCAAATGCTACAAGAATGGTGGACAAAAACATGTGTATATATCAAGTCATCAGCGTTGGTAAAACCATGGTTGGGATGGGGGATGGTCTCATCTTCATCCTGAGGAAAGTGGATAATTTGCTTCTGCAGGTCCACCGTCTTGGACGGGGGATGGTAGCGAGTGACGAACTTGTCCGCTAGGTTGGTGAACGTGGTGATCGAGCTTGGAGGTCGAGTGTCTAGCCACTCCTTGGCCTGCCCCTCCAGAGTAAATGGAAAGTACCTCAGCTGGATGGCATCGGCTGGAACCCCATCGATGACGATGAGCTCGTGGAATCTCCTCAGGTGTGATCAGGGGCACTCCCCTCCTTGCCACGGAATACCACCGAACTGCGCAGTATGGTGATGACAGAGGTGCTTACCTCAAAGTTATTCGCTGGAACATGAGGGTGTTGAATGGGTGACCTCATGTCCGCAACTTTGGCGGTCTAGTAATACCCCATTGTCTGCTCCTCGGGAAGGACCACATCATGCTCCTATGGGTCACCCATCTCTTCCCCCTCGGCGATTTGCAGTTGTGCTAGAGCTTCCTCCGCAGCCAGTCGCGCCTTTAACGCCCGCTTGAAGTTCCTACAAGTCCGTTAAAGCTCTAGGTCTAACAGTAGTAAATCTCCCGACTGGCTGCGGAGGAGGCTCTAGCACAGCTGCAAATCGCCGAAGTGGATGAAACGGGTGACCCACAGGACCATGATGTGGTCATTCCCGAGGAACAGACCATGGGATATTACTGGACAGCCAGAGCCAGGGACATGAGGTCGCCCATCCAGCACCCGCTACCATCCTCCGTCCAAGATGGAGGACCTGTAGAAACAAATCACCTACTTTGCTCAGGATGAAGATGAGACCATCCGGAATGCTTGGGAAAGATACACCAGTCTTTTCCTCAAGTGTCCCAACCATGGTTTTACCGACGCCTTCAAGGTGGGAACCTTCTACCATGCCCTCTTTCCAGAAGACAAACAGCTGATTGACTCAGTTTGTGGCGGGAATATGCTCACCAAGACACCGCACAGCTGAACCAACTTTTTGAAGAGATGGCAGAGCAGGGATATGATTGGGGAACGACAAGGAGTTCGAGACTTGCACGAGGGCGGGGTGTGCATGTTGTAGCCACTCAGTCGTCTGATTTTGTGCAGGTGGTGTCGAAACTGGTTTCAGCCATCGATCACTCTAGAATGATTTTAGGTACCGGACAGCAGCAGGCGATGCACTACCAGTGGTGTGAAAGCTCCCATCACACCGTGGAGGACTGTCAGGAGATGAGGGAGTCGTCTACTCCCCAGGAGCAGGTGGACGTCATCGGCAATGCCAGGCGTTTCGACCCCTATAGCAACACTTACAACGAGGGGTGGCGCCAGCATCCAAATTTCTCCTATTTTGGGGCCAATTCTAGACCACCAGTCCCCCAAGGACCACCAGGCTTCCAGAGGCCAGACCATCCCTCATCCGCATGACCCAAATGAGCATTGCAAGGCCATTACTACTGGGAGTGGCAAGATGACTGCTGATCCACCTGTTCGGGCACAAGAGAGAGAGACCCCTGCTTCAGGACTTCCAACTAATGAAGAGGAAATAGAGATGGAGGTTGAGGTGCATGCTCCTAAGCCGCAACCAGTGGTGAAGGAGTATGTACCGTAGCTTCCCTTTCCTACTCAGTTGCAAAAAGACCGATTGGAGACTGAGTTTTCCAAGTTCATGGCAATGCTGAAGAAGGTAAACATAAGCATACCCTTCGTGGTGGCATTATCAAAGATGCCCAAGTATGCCAAGTTCATGAAGGATCTCCTCACCAACAAGAGGAAGCTTGGGGAGCTGTCAACGGTGATGCTCAACGAGGAGTGTTCTGCCATCCTGCAGAACAAACTACCAGAGAAGCGAAAAGACCCAGGGAGTTTTACTATCCGTTGCATGATTGGTAGTTTGCATATAGGAAAGTCCTTGGCGGATCTAGGCGCTAGCATAAATGTCATGCCATATAAACTGTTTAAAAAGCTAGGCCTAGGTGAACCCAGTGATACTAGGATGAGCATTCAACTTGCTGATAGATCCATTGTGCATCCTAGGGGCATTGTAGAGGACTTGATATTCGTAGTAGGGCCATTCTCATATCCTGTTGATTTTGTGATTCTTGATATAAATGGGGATGTCACTACAACAAATTCGGCCTATTAGGACAAAATTTTTATTTTGTCATTTTTTGTTAGTCATAATATGTACGATGATATGACCAAAATAATATATGTCCTATTTGGTATGTCTAATGTGACAAAAAAAATTGTCAGAATAATTCGTCATTTAAAGTGAGTAATGTGACAAATAATTCGTGCCACAATTAATTTTGTCAAAATAGGCGTCCCAAATTGGGATGTAAGAGAATCAACAGTGACAAATTTCTTGTTGTCAGAATAGTTCGTCATTTAAAGTGATTAGTGTGACAAATATTTCGTGTCACAATTAAGTTTGTCAAAATAGGCATCCCATATAGGGATGTAAGAGATACAAAAGTGACAAATTATATCGTCAGAGTAGCTTTTGTCATATTATGCCTTCCTGAATTGTTTAAATGATAAAGTATTTTGACACAATAGATAGCAATAATCTCACGACGAGCTGACAAAAGGGCGTGTTCGTCATAATGTAGTGGGTTCGGCTTTGACAAAAGGCATATTTGTCATAATATAGTGGTTTCATTTTTAAGAAAAGGCATTTTCCTCAGATTTGCTTGTATTAGACTAAAACCAATTGGTCCGACCGACACTTTATTCCCCCTCTTCTCTTCTTTTTAGTCGGGGAACGAGAGAGCTGTGGGAGAAAAATATATACTTGTTTTTAGGAAATAAAGGGACGGTGCTTATAAAAAAAATAAGTGGACGGGTTATTCCCCATTTCTGAGCAGAAAACACACACTTAGCTGTCGTTTCGTCCACCATAACCCTAGAAGGAGACGGGTGTCGAACTCTCCTCCCAATTCCTTCTACCTCTCGCTCGACCTCCCATCCCACCATATCCCTCTACCGCTGTTCCTTCTTCCCCCAGACCACTACCAGTGTCGGCGTTCCCTACCCCCAGACCACGACCTACCCCACCCCACCCCACCCCACCCCACCGCCATCATCTTCCTCTCCCTTGATTCAATGACGAACCCTGTCCGAGAAATCAAGCAGCAACAACGATTGCGCCGCCATCATCTATTCATCTTCCTCTCCCTCCAGACAACCACGAGCCTGCATCCGAGATGTGAAGCATCATCTAACGCTTATTCCGAGGGCGTTCATGAACCACTCAATGCGGCGGTGGTCACTGAAGCAACGACCATCAACAACAAATTGCATCACACGAGAACACCAAACTCCACATAAGGTCCCCCCGATTCTCCTTTCGTATTTTAGGTTTGTGTGTTTTGAGACCGATGATGGGTTAGTTCTTTATTTATCTGAGGTAGAGACTCTACCGTAGAGTCGTGATGTTTCTGAACTTTTGCAATTTGGGTGTTGCGTAGGATAATTAAAGGGATATTAGGTTAGAATTACTCCATTCCACTACTGCTGACTGATTACTGAACTTTCACCGTGTGCAGCAACGAATGGAACAAATACATAACAAATGACGCTTATACTTAGTTTTCTAATTTGGATTTGATTGGTTTTAGAACCCCAAGAGTTTAGGTATGGATCGTGTGTCTTTATTGTTGCTTATATATCCATTCATCCATCTGGTTATGTTTCTCTGGATCACTCCTGTACCTTTTTTCCTAATATGGGCTTATATTGTTCTTACAACCTCCTAAACCCTGATTTCTCAACTTCTTCCTCAAACAACAGGTAGCGTACTGCCAACACTAACCTCTCTATTCAAATTAATTGAACAGGTGTGCAAACACAACTATGACTTCAACTTGTGTGCCCATGTTCTGCAATCTTATCCCGAAGCATCATCAACAACAACAACTAACATAAAATCCTTAACCAAAGTTATCCAAGAGATGGCCAAAAAGCAATCAACCATCCTGGGCAAACTCTTTACTGAGCTAAGGAACAACAAAGCTACCAAGCAACCAATCAAGTTGTTATTGGATCTATGTGCCTCCCTGTAAAATGATGCAACTATTTCTTCTCACAAATTGGGTAATGAGATGTCGCTAAAAGTTTGGAAGTTTCATTCTGTTTTAGATAATTCTCAATCTTGCCGAATTGAATTAGCAACAAAACGTGTCCTGTTAAAACAATTGCACGTGAATCTACCTCTCTACCTTATAAATGTAAGAATTCAACTGTGAATAATGTAACATTGTAGTTCTGTACTAATTTTGATTCTTGTCTTTACTGTTTACAGAAGTATACGATTGTTCCTTTAAGAATTGGTGGTATATGTCCTGTTGTGAATCATTATAGTCCTTAAATACATGCCATCTTCTTCACATAATTTCTGCATGTAAATAGTAATTTGGTGGAGTTTTTCTATGTTGACAGTAATAAAAGCTTGCCACATTCTTTCACATTGTTTCTGTTGATTAAGTTATTCATATGCTGAATGCAATGGCGGCTTGATGAGCTGAAGGGTAAAGCTTCTTACCAAGTCATACACAAACTCTTTAAGCGAGCTTGGAATCTCAAGGTAATTTATTGATACTTGTTTGATTCGTAAGCCATGTTTTTTGCTTTCTGCTTAAGTTTAGATGAAGTTTTGGCATTTTTTAATTTTAATTGCAGCTTAAACATTTGCCTACAGATTATAGTGGCTCATCCCTTACTCTCATTGGTTCTCAAAGAATTTGTCATTTGATATTGATGTCAGGTAAACCTTTTTGAGGTACTAAGTTGTCAATATCTCTGTGAACATTTAGCTGGTTTTTGTTGTTTTGATATCTTTTCTTCATAGTTCGGTTCATTAATTTCAGTAGCCTTAATTTAAAACTATGTGTAAGAAAAAGTGGCTTACCTTGTTGATGTTTCTCCAAAGTCATCTTAAAATTGACAAATGGCCTTTTCCAAATTCTAATTGTGTGTCTTGTCGTTCTTTTCGTATGAATCAGGTTTGTCCAATATCCCCTTAAGACGTGCAGGACAAGGAGCAGCACCCTGGAGCTTAAGGCGATAAGAGACATTTGCAGGAGTCATCTACTCCATTTGCTTGGCTCTATTTGTTTTAACTCTGCAGCATTCTTTAGTTGTTCCAGTTGCTTTTTTTACGTGTAGCTCCTTTACATGATTTCGTTTCCTATTAATGTTTATTTACTTTGTCATTGGATTTCATAAATGAACTCCGTTTAATATTTTTTTCTTATTTAAAAGAATTATTGATACAAAGTCTAAGTCTCCAAGAGCATGCAACAAGAAGTAGATGCAACAAGCTAATGTAATTAATTAAAATGATTCTTTGTAGTGTTTATTATATGTCATTTTAGACATGAGACAAATAATGCACCTTTCGTGACAAATATATTCGTCAATATATGCAGGTATGACAAAATAATGTCGTCACAATAAACACTTGTGAGAAAATGTAGTCGTCACAATATACAGTTATGACAAAATATAATTGTGTAATATGACGAATAATTATCCCAAATCACCTGATTATGACAACCTTAATGACAAAATATGTCGTCATGACATCTATGTTTGTCACAATAGACTACCCAAAATCTCAGCTATACTATATGCAAATGTGACAAATTTGTTTTAAATATTTGTCACATTTGACCTATCCTGACGGCGATAAAATGACAAACCTTTGTGACAACACCATTTGTCATATTATACCTAATATGACAAAATCGGTATCTAATATGACAAAATAGCCTCGTCATAATAGGAAGAATTTGTTGTAGTGTGTGGATATGCCTTTAATACTGGGTAGACCTTTTCTCGCCACCGCCAAGGCGCTCATTGATGTGAATGATGGGAAATTGATTTTGCGAGCTGGGGGTGAACACATAAACTTCTCTATTTCTGATAATATGAAACACCCCCAGCTCCACGATGATCTAGACTACTGTGATGTTATTGCTGATTTTGAGACCGCACTCGCCATCATGAGTGCGGGTACTAATGATTTCCTTGAGCGTTGTCTTTCGCTAGGGGAACAGGCATCACAGGAGTTGCAGCTAGAGGAGCAGCTCGCGGAGCTAGACGAAGCCGCAATCGAGGGGCGAGAGAAACCATTCAAGTTGATCCCTATCTCGCCCCGGATTGCCACATCTTTGGAGCAGCAACCAAAGCTGGAGCTTAAGCCCCTTCCCTCTCATCTAGAGTATGCATTTCTCCAGGAGGGGAATAAGCTCCCGGTCATTATCAGCTCGGATCTGACACCTAAGCAGAAGAATAGGCTGGTGGCTCTGTTGCAGAACTATGTCCGGGCCATGGCGTGGAAGATAACATATATTAGAGGCATTAGCCCATCCTTCTGCTCCCACAGAATTATGATGGAGGATGAGGTTAAGCTAGTCAGGCAACCACAGCGGAGATTGTCTCCCAACTTGGAGGCAGTGTTCCGGGCATAGATTGTGAAGCTAATGGATGCAGGGATCATCTTTGCTATATCTGATAGCAAGTGGGTCAGCCCCACTCAGGTGGTCCCGAAGAAAGGCGGGATGACTGTGGTCCCGAATGAGAAGAACAAGCTGATCCCGATGCGGACCATGACCAGCTAGAGAGTCTGCATCGATTACCTGCACCTGAATGACGCCACCAGGAAAGACCATTTTCCCCTACCTTTCATTGATCAGATGCTGGAGAGGTTGGCTGGCCATGACTTTTATTGCTTCCTGGATGGCATGTCTGGTTATTTCCATATTCCTATCGCACCAGAGGATCAGGCGAAGACCACATTCACTTGCCCCTTCGGTACCTTTGCTACCCGGAGGATTCCATTCGGGTTGTGCAATGCACCGGCGACCTTCCAGAGATGCATGCTGGCGATCTTCGACCGACTGGTCGGAGAGATCCTTCACTCATTGTCTCCATAACCTGGAACTCATTTTGAAGAGGTGCGAGGAGACTAATCTGGCACTCTGCTGGGAGATGTGCCATTTTATGGTCCGTGAGGGGATTGTGCTCGGGCACAAGTTCTCCAAGCAGGAGATTGAGGTAGATCGCGCGAAGATTGAGACGATCAGGAAGCTACCTCCCCCCATTTCTGTGAAGGGGATTCACAGCTTTCTGGGTCATGCATGTTTCTAACGGCGCTTCATTAAAGATTTCTCGAAGATTGCCCTGCCTCTGACCAAGCTGCTGGAGAAGGATGCACCATTCCAGTTCACTCCTGAGTGCACAGCGGCATTCGAGACATTGTGATAAAGCACCAGGGGGTGCTTTGTTTGATCAAAATACGCAGCTCGGAACCGATTCTGGAATCCTCACAGAAAAGATTGACAAGGGTTCTTGAATTAGCAATGGAATCCTCACACACCTAACTCAAGGGTTTGATTCTTGAGAACCCTCAAAGAACACAATTCTCACAAAGGAGCAATTTTCATTCAACTAAAACTTGGATGATTTACAATGTGAAACTGAAAGCTATTTAAAGACAATAAAAACCTAATACAAACCAAATAGAACTAGGAACAATTATGGTAAAAACAAACTCTAAAAAGGACTCAAAACTCGGCCATAAACTCTCTTTCTTCAAGCACAAGCAAGCTGCCTTTTAGCACAAGCAAACTGTCCAAAACAGTTTTTGTACTAACTTCATGCCATTCGTTCGAGGCCTTCCATAACTCCAATCCTTCATCCAATTCCTTCCCTTTGTACATAAACATACCTAGTTTCATGTTGTGGAAGCCTTTGGACTTGAATCAGATCCATACTCCTCGAATTAAGCTTCAAAGAAGGCTTCACAAAACAGTTTCCAGACAAACATTTTATGGCAGTTTTCCAGTTTTGAGGTAGCAACTTTGAGTCCTTGGAAAACATTCTTAATGACCTAATCTGGATCCAAAAAGCATACCATTGGAAACATGGAAACCTTATCTGTAAAACAAGCCCTTAATCTCCAATTTTCATTGAGCCATTTGTGAGATACAAGCTTCCAAAGTAGGCTACCAAAAATCAGAATGCTTCAAGTTAATTGAGATGACTTCTTTGGCAAGTAATTGTGAATTGTATATTGATCCAATTGGGATCATATCAGGCTCCCCCTCTTCAAAAAACTTTGACCTCAAACGGACCTTTCCCACGCACAAAGTCTACTCAATCGATCCCACAACTCTTCCTCCCAAAGTTCCAGTTTCCGGCGAACTCAAATTTCCCGGCGAGGGTTCCAAATTTTGGAATTTTCTCTTGAAGCTAGCTCGTTCCAATTCACCACTCGTAATCGACTTCCCAGGATCCAAGGAATCGATCCCAGCAACTTCCAACCT